TGGGGGCTCTAAAAGAAAGTGCTTTCTTCATGGTCTTCACTACTGGTCCAACCAAGAAAGGACTTGCCTTGCAAAAAGCCCTAACTCCATCAATATGTTCTCCAAGTTGGAACAAAAAATATTTGGAAAGCCAATTTAATAATGATCCCTTGTAACCATCCTATTGCCCACTGGGTCATAGAATATAATGATTGAAGTGACAGGATTTTGAATAACAATACAAGTAAAGGGCTGTCTAAAGCTACTTCTATTACATATCTTGGATTGCTGTACCTTAGGAGAAGACAAAAGGGGGTGGGTGGTGGTAGAAAGATCATTTCCCACATACGGTCAATAGATGGAATTCCTCTCCTCCCCACTAGAAGGAAGGGAAATTACCCACCTGTCACCTTGTATCTGTAGAATTTATCTCTACACAAACCTGTCTCAAAGGTCCCTCTTGATAGCAGGAGCATCCTGTCTATCAAGTTAGCAGGTCTTAGCTTCTACTAACTCTGTTGAGGGCCCACTTCTCTCTTGTGTCTTCTCTCTACTTTATGAAGCCTCATCCCAAGAAGACACATAGGCTTCCATTTTCATAAACCCTTTCTGGGTGAATCTCAGCAGTTTGATATAAAGAATCTGATAAAACCATCTGGGTAAGGGCCTCCCCAGTGGCGCAGAGGTTGAGCACTGGGTTGCAAAGCTTCCCCAGCCTCTGCGGCGCCAGTTCGATCCCCGGCTGCTCCCGGCCACAGGAGGAGGGTCCCGCATGGCATGCAGACCTCTCCTGCCACCCGCTGCTCCCCTCAGCAGTGTATTTCATCGGTCTGCCTGCTCTGCTCCCCGCTCTGGCTCTGGTGAATTCTCTCACCCTCCCGCGCTTCTGACTGTACCCAGGGCTTGTATAAATAAATAAATAAATAAATCTTAAAAAAAAATGCAGACTTCAAAAAAATTTTATAATTAAAAAAAATAACCCCATTCAGGGTAATTTTGTGGGCTACACATTGGGTGCTACTAACTAGAGAGCATATAGTTCCCCTGATTTTAACAATAGTTCCTAAACAGATAAAATTAATGCCCTCCAGATAAGTGTATCCTTTGCTACAATTCAGAAAAAAATTTCAGAAAAAGAGACCTTTTCCAGTTAACCAGTTCACAAAAATAATTTGAGATATATGACAAAGATGTCAATAAAAATCAATACTACTCTTGGTGAGATGAGGCATCTAAATAAAAAAGGAAAAATCTAAACATATATTTTACGGTAAAAATAATTTTAAAAAGTGCAAGACCTTACATTGATTCACTTTGGAGAAAGCAGTTTTACCTTTTACATCAGTATGAAATGGAATTAAAAATATAGAATTAAAGTAATATTTCCTCGCTCCCTCCCTTGTCCATTTGACAAAGCTCAGTTTTGTGTCTGTTCCCTTATGAGAAGAAACCTGATGTTCAAGATCACTCACATTACATGCATTTGGAATTTAAATGTTACTGAGTCACCATACTTCAAAATAGCTTTAAGATAACAAAGGGCATTTACCTGCAAGATAAGAAGAACCAGGAAATAGAAATTGGCTGCTCTCTTGAACTGCTCAAACAAATTCATTGGTAGAAAGGTAAACGCATTGTACTTGTATGTTTTAATTGCATTATTCTGTTGGGAAAAAAGTAAGAAAGTCATTTCTAACGCTGCTACACATTCATCACAGTTGTCTGCCCAGCTGCAAAAATCACAAACCTATGGCCCTCAGCACCACAGGGAGATAATTTGTCATTCAGAAGGACAGTGAGACTTCCTTTAAGCGCTTAATTCTAACCAGACCTCAAAATGACTCCTGAGAGGCTTATGTCACAGAGCATAACAAGACGAAGACACTTCACACTTTGCCGGACAGGGCCTGGTGGCAAATCCCACTGTGACCACCTGGATCCTGTGTCATGATTTCCTGACTTTGCAAAGTCTTAGAAAATGGGGCAAAGGTGCAGGCAGCATGGGCAGGCAGAGCAGGAAAAGGAAGACTCAGTTAAGGAGGATGGAGGTTACTGTGTAAGGAAGAGTATGGCTGAGCTGTGTGCCATTGTATGGCTGAGCTGTGCGCCTCGGAGGACATGCTGCGGCCCTAACCCATCTGGGGTGTCATCTCATTTGGAAACAGGGTCTTTGCAGATGCAATCAGCATCCAGAGGTAAAAGTTAGAGTGAAGTCGTACTAGAGACTTCATTTTAGAAATGGAAAGTTGTGCTAGAAGAGGAAAGCTGGTGTACAGATAGAGACACAGAAATGCCATGTGAAGATGGGGCAGTGGCCGGAGAGGGGGGTCCATTAGCTGAGGACACCAAGGATTGCGGCCATCACCAGAAGTGGAGGGAGACTTGGAAAAGATCCTCCCGCAGATCCTCTTAAAGGAACCAGGCCTCTGATACCTGGAGCGCTGGGATTTCTGTCCCCTAAACTGTAAAAGAATAAATTTCTATTGTCAAAACCACCAGGCTGGTGGTATGACTAAACTAGTAGACACTGACACTGGAGCCCACACTTCTCAGGTGCTCTTTATCATATTTCAAAGGTTAAAGAATTTTAAAGGTGGAAATATCTTCAAAGTCTCTGAATCATCACAGGAGAGGAGGGGAGGTAAGTTACTAAATAGAAAGCTCTATCACATTATTCTATATTCTTTCACAAAACATTTTTAAAGCGAATTTTGCACATACATAGGGAAATTTTCAGTCTACATATTTTTGTTCCAATCATTCCTACACATTCTCAGCATAAATTTATGTGATGAATAAAAATGATATTCCAGAGACTTATCAACGGTTATCACTGGGCCTGAGGCAGGAGTTACCTAGACAGCGGGAGTAGCATGAAGCGAGAAAGCATGATGGCTACTGGGTCTTAATTGGCTTCTAACAAAACGAAACTTAAGAAGTTAAACTCAACTTACCGCATATTTGCTCTCCTTAAGACACAAAAACTTTGTGTTCATAAAATCAGGTTGTTCATGGAAGCTTCGATCATTTGCTTTGACTTGCCATGTACAATCTTTAGAAAGAAGAGAAGGAAATACAAATCAAAACCCCAATGAGGTATCACACCCACAAGAATGTCTGTTATCAAAAGGACAAGAAACAGGGGCCTCCCTGGTGGCGCAGCAGTTGAACGCTGGGTTGCGAAGCTGCCCACAGCCTCTGCAGCGCCAGTTCGATCCCCAGCCACTGGACAAGGGTCCCACATGGCGTGCAGACCTCTCCTGCCGCCCGCTGCTCCCCTCAGCAGTGTGCTTCATCACTCTGCCTGTTCTACTCTCTGCTCTGTCTCTGGTGAATTCTCTCACCCTCCCGTGCCTCTGACTGTACCCAGTGCTTGTATAAATAAACAAATAAACAAACAAACAAACAAATAAATCTTTTAAAAAAAAAGGGCAAGAAACAATAAGGATTGTGGGGGATGTGGAAAAAAGGGGAACCCTCATCTATTGTTGGTGGGAAAGTAAATTGGTGCAACCACTGTGGAAAACAGCATGGAGGTGCCTCAAAAACTTAAAAATAGAACTACCTTACGATGCAGGTATATCTTCTGGATAATTATTCGAAGAGCTCAAAAATTTTGATTTGCAGAGATATATGCAACCCCCACATTCACAAGACTACTCAGAATACCAGGAGCTGGAAACAACCTCAATGCCCATCAACAGATGAGTGGATAAAGAAGACACGGGGTCTAGACACAATGGGAGATCACTCATCTGTTACAACAGATGACATCCTGCCACCTGCAACAACAGGTATAGAGCTGAAGGGTATTATGCTAAGTGAAATATGTCAGATGGTAAAGGCAAGCACCCTGTGATTTCACTCACATGTGGTAGACAAAGAGATAACAGAGCAAAAATAAAACCTTTAGGCCAGAGTGATAACAGCGGTTGCCAGAAGAGAAGGGGAAGAGGGGCTGGATAATTGGGTAAAAGGGATTAGAGGCTGGTGAGGGGTGAGAACTAGTCTTCTGGTGAAGAATATAAGGTCGTGTATGCAGGTGTTCATTTATAAGTCCATACACCTGGATAAGAACAAAGAAAAAGAAAAAAGAAAAAATTGGGCAGAAAATAAGCATGCTGCTGTGGGTTGAATTATGTGCCCTAAGATTCATCTGATAAAGGTGTGACTCTACTCTGTACCCCCAAATGTGACCTAATTAGGAAAGAGAGTGATCGTACATATAATCAAGTAAAAGGAGATCATTGGCAGGAACCTTAATCCCATATGACTTGTGTTCCAGACCCCCCCAGAAGTGCTTGCCAGTGAGCCGACCTGGGAGGGTCACTCACAAGTACATGGTCAGCCTTTCACGTGACCCCAGTCTTGGGCTGCGCTGGGTCTCCCAAGCAGGAAGGCACACCCACTCAGCTGCTACAAAGCCCGGGTGAGGGTGTCATACATTTGGAAAGAGGGTAAGACAGCACCTCTTCAGCTCTAGTTTCCCCAATGACTTGCACGTTTGAAAATCACAGACACCTATTAGTACATTTTAAAATGCTGTGCTAGATCCTTTTCTAGTTCATAAGTGTGATGATTGGGTGTTCACGCGGCTGTGTGAGATGTGTCTCCCTTAAACCTTGTTACGACGTCGACACATTACCCTTCTGACGTGTAAAAAAAAATAAAATAAATAAAACACTGTGCTAAATTTAGCACCTACCTTTCAGAAAGGCAGCAAAATAGCACACAGAGAGATTTATCTTTTTGATCAAATATTTTTAAAGTACCCACTTGGAGTAGAGAACTTTACTAGATACTTGAACCACAAGGTTAATTTACAGACAAAGTAGGAAACTTGCACCATTTTCTAGAATGGAAATATTCACAGAGAGGAAAAATAATATATGAGCAGCAAATGTACCTTTGCTCTATGGACCTTTGATTAAAAGTTTTCCAGAAAAATAGCAAAGAACAGGATTGGGCTTAGTATAGCGGGCAATCCCTGAGATGTGTTTACCACCAGCCAGCTCAAAAAATCGACCAAGCCTGCTAAACTGTATCTACTGCATCTAAATCTCCCTTGGGCCTCCCTGGTGGTGCAAGGGGTTAAGCACAGCACTGTGAAGCTATCAACTGTTGTGCCCAACCTCGACCAGCGCAGCCCTCAAGGACACACAGACAGCCGATGCAAGAACAAAAATGAGTTTATTATGGGCCAGTTGGTTGACGTTGGGCACAACATCAACAACCTCTGCAGCACGAGTTCAATCCCCAGCCAGGGAGCTACCCATATGGTGTAAGCAGATCTCTCCTGTCTCACCCGCTGCTCCCCTCAGCAGTGTATTTCAGTCCATCTGCCTGTTCTCTTTCCCATTCTGTCTCTGGTTAAACCTCTCACCCCCTGCACCTCTGGCCTGTACCCCAGTTCTTGTATGCATAAATAAAATCTTTTTTTTTTTTTTTTTAAATATATCTCCCAGGGTTCCCATCACCAGCACCATCTGGGAAAGGTCAGTTTCGCAAGTCCCTCATCCCCTGGTGGCTGGATCTGAGCTCTTCCTTACTGACACCCCAGACACCCTCAAGCTGCACTGGTTTGGTACAAACTGCCGCAAACCACTGGAGTAAAAAGATCAAAAGCATAACATCCAACAGAAAAAACAACCAGAGAGAGATGAGTAAAGAACAGGAAGCAAGCTGAGGGAATTCAAATGTCACTTAAATATGTGTATGGATATTCAAGTTCATACACAAAGAAGTTCAATTCTTCAGTGAGGTGCTGATTTTATCCTGATTGTGACATATGGGCAGGAAGTAAAGAATTTGATGACAGGCCAGGTTGGAAGAGGAACAGGCCTTCTTTTGTGGTCTCTGCAGAGAGCAATTGGATTACTGTTGTCAAATGGACACGCAGAAGGGGCAATCCTGCAATCCTACTTCTAGGAACTTACCTACCCCTTGTGTATAGTCACTCACAGAAGAAATGACCTTCCTCAGGGTTATTCAATGCAGCCCTGTTTATCAGAAAGATTAGAAAACACCTAAATGCCCCTGAGCAGCTGGTTAAATATCCACACAAAGAAAGCCACACAGGCCACCAGAAGAATGAGGAGATCTCCAAGCTCCACTAAGGAGCAAAAGCAGAGGGTGTCTCCCTTGCGGGGCTGTCAGCTGGGAGAGACAGAGTGAGCGCACCTCGGTGATGCCGCCGTGTGCACGCACTTGCGCGTGTGTTTGTGTATCTAAGGCACATAAGTCAATAGTTTGCAAGTGTTCTTTACACACAGGAGTGCACGGATATTTTTGAGAAACAAGCAGCAACAGATCTGAGGGGCAGAAGAGGCAGGGAAAGACTTCATTTTCCTCTGTAGTCTTTAATAATTAGATCTATTTGCATGTTATTTTAAAAATACTTGCAATTCAATTCCTCCCCTTTACAAGTTTATACATAAAATAGATATGTTGATTGATTTCCTTCTCGTCATTGTACCATTATATTTAGTATTTTTAAAAATATTATTCTAAAAAATAATTATTCTAAAGCAGGGGAAGACAGAGAAGACAGGTAAAGATGGAAATCTACAAAGCATAGCAGGGAAGCACACCTGCCTGCACCAATATGAGTAAGTCTTAAAAATGCCTTTGAGGGCCTCCCTGGTGGTGCAAGGGGTTAAGCAGTGCACCATGAAGTGATACAAAGACTCTGCAGCACAAGTTCCATCCCCGGCTAGCCAGGGAGCTACCCACATGGCACAGCAGAACTCTCCTGTCTCGCCTGCTGCTCCTCTCAGCAGTGGTTTCAATCAGTCTGCCTGTTCTGTTCCCTACTGTCTCTGGTGAATCCTCTCACCCCCCGCATCTCTGGCCTGCACCCCAGCTCTTGTATACATAAATAAATCTTTAAAAAAAATGCCTTTGAATAAAGTCAAACACCAGTTCATTCCAATCCAAATTATTCCAAATGCACAACTCCATTTATACACATTGTTTGAAAACATGTAAAACTAAACTACAGTATTTAGGAATATATATTTAGGTGCTAAAACTATAAAAAAATAAGTCAAGGGTGTCATTATCATAAAAATGAGGATGAGGTTACCTCGGAGGAGGGAGAGAAAAAAGGTGGATAATGACTATGGAGGGATGAGCTGGGACACTGGCTGGCCTGGGGGTGGGGAGGAGCTCCATGTGTGTTCACGTGACAACTCTGTGTTGAGTTATGTACTTGGCACCATGCACTTTTGCATTTTTAAATACAGCAATATTAGTAAATCAAAAAGGAGCAAGAATTTTTTTTAAAAAATGTAGTAATATGGCCTCCCTGATGACACAAGGGGTTGAGCACCGCACTATGAAGCAATCCGCAGCCTCTGCAGCATGAGTTCCATCCCTGGCCAGGAAGCAGTCCACATGGCGCAGCAGACCTCTCCTGCCTCACCTGCTGCTCCCCTCAGCAGTGTATTTCAGTCGGTCTGCCTGTTCTGTTCCCCACTCTGTCTCTGGTGAATCCTCTCTCTCTCTCTCTCTCTCACACGCATCTCTGACCTGTACCCCAACTCTTGTATGCATAAATGGGTGAATCTTCAAAAAAAAAAAGTAGTAATAAAAGGTTAATAGTTCAGGATGCTAATGACCACAGAAAAATTCTGCTTAAGTGAATGAAAAGCAGAGATCTTCCAAGCCAAGTTCTTCTTTGGGGCTCTGGTTGGAAGTGGCCTGGAAGGGAGTCAGTGGGAGCAGGAGGTATACAACGAGCAGAAGTGCCTTATGGCTGTCACCCCTGCTGTTAGGAGGAGTCTGCACATATCGGTACATATTGGTCACTAAGCCATGTGTCCAGGGCCCTCCTGCTCTAACCTGGGCCCAGAAATTCAACAACCTTATAAGGAGTTGGACACTAGGCAAGATTTAGCAACCATATCATCATCTGCTGGTGTCGTGGATTCCAGTTTTCCTAGATTAGACCCAATCTCCACCTATACTCATAAGCCAGGAGCAGAAGAGGCTTCTCTAAGGAGGGTAGAAAGGAGCCAGCCACAGGGAAGGGGCTGGCTGCCCCAGGGAGTG